TCCATTTACGTACATGTAGCTTTCTGTTAAACACACAAAGGCTAAGTACACCTTAACTTTAACTCACAATTTGTGGTACAAAAGTTTGCATAATCTGGGCACAAAAACCAACTTACGACCTGTTCCCCTTAAGGCTACGCTATGCTTTGGGCACATGTAGACTCTAAGATTTTTAGGTAATTGTGAATCTAGAGATTGAAACTAAAGGCTGGTTATTAAAACAAAGTTTAGGTGGTGTTTAACAGAACTTTTGCATTCTCATTTTTCAATTATTTTACCATCCTTATACCGCTCATATCTAGCAAACATTGTTTGTTGTTAAGAGCATCAAAAAAGGTTCAAGGCTAGGCTGCAAAAACCATTTCATATCTATTTTGGGGGCCCACGTATTTTTTTAAACCTCATTCTATTAGTAAGGCTCTGTTTTAATAACCAACCCTGAGTGTTTTGTGCAAAGTACACGTATAGTCCGTATACTCCGGCAGAGAAATCACATACTTTGCTATAAGGCCCATTTAGAACCCAGAGTTGCGCAAAATGACATTTGGATGACGAGAAAGACATTAAATCGTTCTGAAAAGCGCAAGTGAACTATAATAATAACAGTATCTTTTTAATAGTTTTGAAAAGATTTTCCAATTGATGTAACTCCAGCAAAAATGGATCAGGCCAACTTTTTTAAGGAGAGGCCATTAAGGTTACTATATTCTCTATTCTCACATAGGCCATAATTTATGCACTTATGCATTTATGCATTTATTTACTCCCAAAATTTTGCATTTTGTTTTCCGTTTCTCCTGGATATTACAGTCATCCCAAGAGAAACATTGAATATTGAAAAGAATGTTGATGCAAAATTTTGGGGGCAAACAAGGTGCATTATGGTCTGTGTGAAAATAGTGAATCAGTGGATTTCCATAAAAGCAATTTTACTGTCACGCCAGTAAAATGTAGTTAATGGATCGTGACGCCAGTTATCAGTAACCCATTCATGGTGGTTCTTTTTCAACAAAGCAATTGTGTAGTCAGGTTGTCAAGGTCAGCGAGCTCTAAGATGCATTGTATTCTAGCGTAGAACTTTACAGCCTTGTTGTCTTAAGCAGGCTAGTACGAGCCACAGCATTGGCCAATATTTTCAAAGCACTATTCATGGCTAAGAGTTTGCACATGCAACACTGAGCTGTCTTGTCGTACAACCTTATCTACTGGCTATGCCAGCAGACATTCGTCTAGCTATAAAAGCCTAGAACAACTGTTCAGAGTTCACTTGGGTTCCAGTGTTCAGCAAGATTTAAGCACTCAGTATACTATTCTTGTAAAATTTTTCCCTTCCTCCCTCCCTTTGGAGACGAGGTTTGGGCTTTGTTTTGTGCTATGCCATCAAATAAACTAAGGGCACTCCTCGCAGTGAGGTTAAGTCTGCGCAGCAACTTCCCCCAAGCTTGTTGGCCGCATTGCCGTTTAATATCGCCTGTAAACCGATACTCTTATCTGATCCAGCACGTGCTGTATTGCATTCAGCTTGTAGTGCTGGGGAGATAAGTGAGGTTCTTTGGTCACCCCATCGCCGGAAGTCGCACAGGCTAACCTAGCACAGGGCAGTGCTCCCCCATTATCACCAACTTGTCACTATTTGTTTTATAATTAAGTCACTTCGCGTTTAACATGCACCATAAAGGAGCAGAGACATTAATGATATCATTATGCATTTGTTGGATTTTGAAGAAGCACAAAACCTTCATGACACTGCGCCTAAAAAGTAATTGGAAAGTTTGGCACTTGTATAAACTAACATCAGCTATTCAATAAAATCACCCTGCCATTTTCTTGTTGTCTTGCTCAACAAGGAATTTAGACCTTATTAATTGGCTTCTTGATTATGTTAATCTAGATATTGAAAATTTGTGTCCCAAACCAAATGCATAGATTATTTTAGTGTTATATACATGTTAATAAAAAATGCAGTCTGTGAAATCACAGGCATAAAAACATAAAAATGCCTAAAAATCTGAAAAAAAGTTACCAATTTTTTTTTTCACACACCCTTTCATTACTAATTGTTGATTAAAACTAATAAACTCAAAGACACAACAGTATAAGTGAACAGTGCAGATATTTTCATGATGAATGTCATCAAAGGCAAAGTTTTGCATTTTGCTACATGAATACAGTTGGTTGGCTTCACTTGACGAGACCAGGCTAGGTTTATTCAATTAATATAAATAAACATCTATTGCTTATAACTTTATTAAATGAATAACAGACTAATAGGCATGTTTACATTAATATTTTTCATTTTTTCCACATGTTAAATCAGAACAAAATGCTAGCAGTGGTTAAATAATGACCTTGTTAGCTGATTAAGATTCGGGCACAAGGCCATAATATTAATTTTACAGCATTTTGTTATAGGCAATGATGTCATAGCTTCTTTTCAAGTTAATATGCAAAAAACAACTTGAAGTACAAACTCTCACTCGACACCTTATTCGATTTGTTTTGCTCCCTAAACAACTTTTTTTTTCCTGAAGTTTTGTTTGCTTATAGGTCATAATTATGTTCAATAGCTGAGTTTATTAATTCAGCAGCAGAAACTTCTAAAAATATTTCCCCCCCAAAAAAATTAATATTACTCTACTCTTCGTTTTTGACTTTTTAAAATGATTTTTACCTTGTTTTACTGAAAACTTTTTACCAGAAAATAAACTTTGCGGCTGACTTTTCACAGACCTTCACAACACCTATGCCTTTTCCTGACCAGTTGCAAACTTTCCTGATTTTCCCCTGGCCAAGAAAAATCACATTTCTTTTATAATCATATATATAACTATATTTATATTATAGCTTTTCCCTGATTATGTCTGTCCATGATAATGCTGTCATTGACACATTTTGGCTATGCTGTGATTGTCCCAGATGCCTCAAATAATGTTCAGACGATCGGGACAATCATATGAAAACGCTACCCAGACGATCGCAAATGACCTGGATGACTCAGAAGACCTCTATCGATTGCTTGAAATTAAAGTTGAGTTCTATGCGGACCATTGCGAGGATCGTGTAAATTTTGAAGTGATCTGGAAATGCTCTCAGATGACTGACACTTATATCAGGACGATCAAAGGCTATCCCAGAAATCATCACTATCATTCCATTAATTGAGAATATATTCGGCCTGGATACCGCTGAAGTCAAAAATAATTTTAAAATGTTCACATCACGTATGGGTGCTATTTGAAACTAAAGAGAAAGTCTCTTTCATCAAGTTCTAGACGTGGCACTATATCTTTGTGGAACTGACTTCTAGCTTGTTGACGCCACAAAATAGAGAGAAAAAGCAGATAGCAAAGCTCGAGGTTTGCTCTCCATTCAAAATCCATCATTACATGTATGTTTGGCTTGTTTGCAAAACCCACACAAAATTTCTATTGTCTGACCCAGAGACATCGCTGATGACACCCCGTGTCTCTTGTCGTTGAGGCACCCGTACGATCACATAGAAACCACCTATCGTCCCAGTTGTCTGGATCATCTCAAAACTTTTTTAAACGACTGGGGTGATTGGGATGATCATATGGAAACAAGGCTTTATATGCCTATCTCCCCATAATAAACACTTAGAGATCTCCATCTTTAAGGTGATTGCTGCAGAGTTTCACCTACAGCTGTATACTAACATTAAAAGCCGGAGTCAAGCTTAATATTTTAATTAGAGAGCATCATAAAATAGTTTTCCTGGAGAAGATTTCAAAGGTGTATTTTGATGTGGCATGCGATTGAGTTACAATGTAGAGCATTTCAAACTTAAAAACTTGAATCTTTAACAAAAAGAGTTATAGAGAAGCTGGTAAATGATGAGGATGTTTTTGTAAACCAACTGAATCTGGATTGTATTATTTTCCATTCTGCACAAACAAAAATATTATTATACCACCAGTTGTAAAAGAAACAAAAGAATGTTACTGTACTTACAGTAAACACCCACTCACTAATAAGAAACTGTGGTTTAAGAACCTGCTGGAGAACATAAAGTCCTGAATAAAGCAGCTAAAATAGTTCTAAAATAGGCTGGGCAAAAAAAAAAAGGAAACTCAACAAGGCAGCTCTCAAAACAGTTAGCAAGCTAAGTCTGGGGCAGTTTCCTGGAAAGAGACGGTTGGAGGCCTGTGAGATGGCAAAAAAAAACCTTGCTCAGCCCACCAAGCAACGTTCAGCTAGTCTCCTTGGCAAAGAAGTAAAAAAACCTTACTGCAGAGAGAGGCCGGGATGATTATATTTTGTTTACATGAATGCTTAAAATATTTTTTTTGGCTGCCTAATCTAAAAAAATGATATTGTTTGGGGGTCAAAGTGGCTCCTGTGTACCAGGTGATGAAAAAGCTAAAAGTGGCTCATATGGGGCTCTAGACGCTATGATGACTTATCCCACTCTATGCCATGTGCAATGGCTACAGAATGTGATAAGAAAAAAAAGGGGACCTGCAGCTTACTGAACTTCTGAATACAATCATGTACTTGATAGAGCAATAAACATCTTTTAGAAATTTCATGTAAAAATAAAGTTTTGATCAATAGTTAATACTGAGCATGAAATTAGACGAACAAACTTTTGGGACACCCTGTTACGTTCATCTCCTTCACAGAAATTAAAAACCTAATTAAGAACCTACAGTTGTACTTAGCCTTAATTACTCTGTAACGTACCCCAAAATAAATGAACCTTTTTTGCCAGACCTCAAAAAAAAATGTAAGTTAGGTTCTTATTAGCGAGTGTTTACTGTACATGTATTGCATTCATTTTACCTGCTTTGGTTTCTTAGTTAGAGCGATAACACAAGATTTACTACAAACATCAGTGAACTTAAGCCAGTGTATGTTTATGCAGTCATGTCCAGTGATTCCAGTCAACTGCAGCATTAAATTTAAACATCTGCCTTGATGACATTTATTCATGAAAGTAAAATAAGAACTGTTGACTTGTGTCTTCGAATTTTTCAGTTTTAAACAACAATTACCTTTGCTTGGCGAGTAGCTTCGTCTGTAATATCCTGTAAAGCCACAGCAATGTGACCCTCCACGGTCACTGTTATTCCACGTATTATTATTCTGCCATTTACCCATCCTTTTTCATCCAGCTGAATTCTGCGAACAAATTCGCCATTAACAGTGTATATAGCCAGCGTCAGGCGGGGTGTCCCTCGTTCCCGACTAGCAAGGACAAAATGTTCACTTGCCGGGTGACATGCAATGCAATAATAGACATATCTCTCATCTTTGATATTAAATTTGCCAAGCTGGTGTCCCTCCACATCAAATATGTACAAACTGTCATCGTCTGGGTCCACTATCATGACGCGACCATCACAAGTAGCAGTGATATCTCTTGCATTCTTGATCACTCCTCTTCCACCAAAGCTACAAACGAACTCGCCACTCGGCTCATGAATATCAACAAAGCCACCTGTCAACACGTCATCTGTCAACAGCAGAATTTTGCCGCGTTGTTTGCCGCTGGTCACTGTTAGTGTGCCGGCCCAGCCCCAGCTCCTCACAGGAAACTTGTGCTGTAGGTCACCAGTCTTGTTAAAAACCTGCACTTCCCACTCCCATTCCTCAGCCTCAGGCTTCTTCAGTCTGACCAGAAGATAAATCCTGTCGTCCTCGCCTGCAGTGGCGACATCCAAAATATCTAACTTTGTATCGGCGTCATCAGTTTGAGGATTAAACCTAAAGTCAAACTTTCCGTTGCTATCAAACACCTTCACGGTTTTATCCCCATTGTCTGCTATCAGGAATTGGCCTCTATGGTTTGTAGCGATACCAAGCGGATTCTTCAGCTTGTGCTCCTCTTCACCCTCCTGACCAAATGACCATGGTAAGCAGCTGCAATGCGCCATACCTTGTTTACTTAGTACTTCAGCAACTCTTTGATTTCGAAGTGGATTGACTGGTTCTTCTCCAGTATTAACACAAGGCCAGTTTACCGATAGCTGACCCTTGGTGCCAAACCCGCGGGCCATCAGCGTGACATCGTAAACTACACGATTAAAGAAACATACCGTGGAAATGATTTTTCTGCGTTCTTCTTTACCCAACCGAGCCCAAAAACCTTTTCTAAGCTCTACTTTGAAGCACTCTTTAACACCCGACACATCTTGTAGGTCTTCAATACATACTTTACAAGCCGGTAGACAGTCTTCAGGATTGTCAATTGTCTCCAGTATTGTTGCCATCACTCGATATTGCATAGCCAACAGGCGATCAGGCAACTCCAAAGCTTCATTACTAAAAGCATTTGTCGCTCCTAGGCGAGCTTCTTCAAATCTCTTCTTGGCTTTGGTAAGCTTCCTTGTGGAAGGCTCATCCAAGGCAGAAAGATCCAATTTCCTCATTTCTTTAGCAATATCGAATTGCTCAACACAAGCTGTTGCACCTGCTGCTATCGGGAGATGCTCGCTACTGGATCTGGCACTTTCAAACACGTCATACAACAACTCGATTCCTTCCTTAAAAAGGCTGATACTTACTAACAAATCCTTTCTTGCTAAACCATCCAACTTCGACTTTATTTCGTCGATTTCACGGACGATCAGGCCACGGAATTTCTGATCTGTAACATCACCCTCATTCAACTTTTCTGCCAGTTTATCTCTTCCTTTATTCACCAACAGGCCGATAGTGGCTTTGAATACAGCAGTTATTAGTGAAGACATGTTGAGTACTCCTGTTAATGAAGATCGATCTCGGTCTGGTATATCCCGTCAGTTCAACTGCTTACTGTAGATAAAGAAATGCACGCGAGGTTATCAGTAATAAATTAAACAGAAAAAATTGCAAGAAAAAATTCTAAGAACTTAGTAAAAAAGAGGAGAAAAATGATTGTCTAATGCTTTAGAGAAGAAACTTAATAGAAGGTCTACCGCTCACGGGTTGTTGATGGACTGCGTTCTCTAACTACAGCTAAGTGTTCAGAAAAAACAAAAATTCAATATGGTATGTTTTGACGAAAAATTTCTTAAACTGTTAGCTGTGAATTTCATCACCGTTTGAGCCCGTCCGGTAAACTCGTTAGAAAGACTTGGGGGCTATCCTCTTTTTAATGATCGAGTCACCTTAATTCATGTGTGCAGCAATCTCATGTTGCCAGTGATATATCTGATGTACCACTGACTGAATAAATGGTTTGCATGGTATTCTGCCATTTCAGTTGCGTTATACAGCAATTAAAATCATAATCCTGTACTGATCTTCCCTGGTCAATTTATTATCGTCACTTTCAACACAACATTGACGTGACATTTTATGTGCTTGAAACAAGGGTGGCATGGATTAAAACAATGGGCTCCAGTATCGGTACCTTTACACGATACCTTTACATACATTTAATAGAATTTCAAATCAGACGAAATTCTAAAAAGAGGGGGGCGTAAGGAAGGTGCGAACACCGCAAAACTGCACAGAAATACCGGTATGTAAACACCTTACAGAATAACATAAGAAAACCGCACAGAAATACCGGTATATAAACACCTACATACCACAAACTGCTAGGTTTTAACTGCATTACAGCAACTTAAAACAAAAAATTCTCGCAAAACCGCACCAAAAATCGAGCAAAACCGCTTCACCTCAAACCCTTACGCCCCCATCTAAAAATTGCTAAAACTTATCGACCAACCGTGGTCAAATAACATCTGCTCCTAAAACAAATCTATACTATAATTAGTTTTGAGCAGTATTTTTTCCTTGTGTTTCGGGTGAATTCGCTTCATTAGTTGTGGTAAAAATTAATGAAACTGTTAGGATTTTAGTTTTACCAGACAAAATGTCATGGAAAGGGAAGTGAGGTGTCGCCACAAGACGCTCAATTATTTAAGCCTCATCCTTCAAATATTCGACCAATCGTGGAAATCATAACAACACTTTCTTACTGAATTGAAACTTGAGTTGAAATAAAATTTCAGCTTGTGCAGTACTTTCTTACTGTGCATTCAGATCGGGATGTTCATAAGCAAAGCTACTGAAAAAACGTTTCGCCCCACGTTCAGTTTCAGAAAGACTCTATCGTGGGATCAATATATTATAATTGGAAAAAAGTACGGGCTCAGTCTACGACAATGAACGCTTCGTACAGTGACTCCCGATAACTCGAACCCTCGCTAATTCGAACCTCGCGCTAACTCGAACTCGATTAATCGGAAAAAAGAAACTTGTGGTTGCTAATATATACTTATCGAGATAGTTTGATCATTTCAGTTTATGTAACCTGTAGAGCACTAACTCGTAACAATTAGTGCTCAATAGTTTACGACTAAACAAAAGAAAGTGATGAAATTGGAGTGTAATACTGTGAAAAAGTGTCTGCTATCTATTTCACAAGTTAAGTGATATCAGACTATTAATGATAAAGCTAAGAGATACAACTTCCCCTAACATTATCCATTACTCAAGTTGGAAAGTGAACTTCAATCCAATATGAATAAATTCTGTCAGTAGTACAAAGTCTTTAAAGTTTGCTAAGATGAGTCAGATCATAAACTACGAGATATACGTGTTTATATATATAAAAAAAGCTTTTAGATAGAGTTTTCGTCCTTACCCGCTCTGTATCGAAGGATTTACCCGGCTGCCGGACTAATAGCGAATAGACTGAGCGTTTAAATGGTGACGAAGAACTAAGCTGAACTTCACTGACTGTTAGCTGTCCACTTTTTTCTTTTATGAAGTTTCCAGACAAAAATATTCTTGGAATTTTGTTTTTATTCCGCGTTGGCCATTGTGTTTTCGCTGACTCACTAATGACAAAGATAACATTTATTCAGAATGAAAGAAACAAACAATTAATTTAAGAGACTCTTAACATGTAAGCACACTGAGTCGAAAAAAAGCGGAAGACTTAACAGGCACAGATCATCATATCCTTAATTTTCATTCTCCTTGATGGTTTCTTCAATATCTGGCGCCAGTTATATTAATGAATGTTGATTTCAATCCCCAAGTGGGACAGCAGTTAATGATCCTCGCTACACTTTAATGATTGTACCTCAAGTGAATTACTAATGTCATCATAATTTGAATAATTTCTCGGTCGACAACTTTTGAGTTTCCAGTGAATTCTGCGTTCGTGTGTCCTACAGTGAAACACTTGTTTGCTTGTTTTGGGTAAAAAAAAAAACTTGATATAAATGTACGAAAAATAAAAACTTGATCATATCGACGGGGACGTGATTAAATCATTGCAAAGGAATTGTATAGTCACTGACCTCGATCAATCAAGTCATTTTTTAGTCTTAAAATTACTAAAAAATTATCGACCAACCGTGGAAATAATATCCGCTCCTAAAACAAACCCATTAGCTTTCAGCTGTTCCTGTTTCGGTCTCCATCGTAGTGGTAAAAAATGCTGCTAGGAATTTAGTTTTATGATGTGAAAATTTCACAGAAAGGGTAGTGAGATACAGTAAAAATTGGCGGCTTAAGAACCACGTTTTTAAGAACCTTTTAAGTTAAGGCTAAAATTTACCAGTTAGGCCCCTTCTATACAAGAACCTGTTATACCTAAAATTTGAAACAGGTTCTTATTTTCTAAAATGTATAAGAAGAAACGCAGTAAGATTATTGAGCAAATGAGATAAGCCAGCAATCAAGATCCTCTTTGAAGAATTATCCGTCCAACTGCAATGTACAGCTGAATATAATGGTATGCAGATTTTATTAGGGAATCCGAGCTGAATACCTATGCAGATTTTATTAGAGAATAAGCTGAATACCACTAAATACTCTTAGCTGTAATCTATTTTCTCTTTAGAAGATAAGAACCGTAGCCTAAATTTGTGCTAATAACCATTTCTGTAAGAACTTTGTTTAGGCTAACTTGGAAAAATGGAGGTTCTTAGTTGCGGGTTTTTATTGTATTGCAACAAAACGTTCCTAAAATATACGACCATCAGGACGACCACCCGTGCAGAACAACTCACTAGACAATCAACTTGAAATCAAATTTATGCTTGTGCAGTACTGTTTTCTTCTTCATTCAGGTCTTCATCAAGCAAAGCTAGAAAATTGTCCCACAT